TAGTCGCAGTAGCGCTTGGGCTTTGTCCGTGTCTTGTCCGTCTGTGCTGACCCCAAGTTCAAGGATGTGCCCTTTTGGGCGGGACCGCTCAAAAGCGCACATCCTTGAACTAGGGGTCATCGCAGACGGACGGATCACGGGCGAAGCCCAAGCGCCACTGCGACTACCCCGAGTGCCCCGCCCCCGACACCCACGACACTGACTATTGTCACCTTCGCCAGAAACATAGGAAGGGTGGATGATGGGGCCCTTCAAGGGACCCCTCGCCCAAAGGGCACAGGATCACCGATGCGACAGTTGTTCAGTCAGAGGAATAAGGTAGCCACTTAGAAGCCCGGAAACTAACACCGATATGTAGGAATGTCCCCCAAGGATCCTGCTTTGCGCGTAGCTGTACGAAACAGACCTTATCAAGTGGCCGCAGACCGCCTGGAAAATTTGAAACCAGTGCAAAGCGATCGCGAATTATTTACCATTAATGGCTACTGCTAAGGGTATGGTACTGGTACATTTCCCTTTTCGGCGTTGCGCTGCACTACTGAAAAATGTCCCTTGCGTGGTGCCTTTGTAGGTGTTTCTGCTACCAGAGGAGAACCAACCGATTCTACAACTTCCTTGCGTGTACAAGAACCTATCAGAAATTCGCCCTGAAGTTCTATCCACTTCTCGAGCTCGGTACAAACAAAACCAGTTGATCGGGCACCGTACCGTGCAAACCCACGAGCACAGAGGCTATCGATATGCGTACCGCACAAATGGAGGCTCACGACATCATTGAACAGCGACCTAGTTCTTGGGGATCGATACAAGGGTTCATTTTTTTTAAGCTCGCGTTTTGGTCTGCTTGTTGCTTCCGATGGTTCCGTGATGTTCATCGGTGGATTGTTCTTGCTTCTCTTTTTGTTTTCAGATTTTTACTCCGTTGCTTCATTATTTTTGGTTTCTGTTTTTTGTCGGTGCTTTCACGGTCTGCTTGTTTGTTGCCACCAAGCTCTCTCGAGTCCTCCGATACGCTATTTTCTCTCTCCTTGAGTTCATTTGTGTTTTTACCTTGCGTAGTAATCTTGGATCGTGTTTCACTTAACACATTGTTCCCTTTCGCGTTTAAATATTGTGCGTGATGAGTCGGTCCTGTGTTTGTGCTTGTGTGCTTGCGGCGGCTGAAGGTCTGGTCCCGGCAATGTTCCTCGACAGCGAGGGCAGAGAGGTCGCCAACGAGGACCCTCGGTGCGGCCTTTACATACGCTCCCGACGGAAGGTATATGCGGTAGGCATGCTGTGGCAGCGGCTGTTGTCGTTGTTTGTCCGTCTTTACGGCTCGTCTCCGAAAGGACAGCCCGCGATCGATCACAGGCAGGATCATAGACTTCTATGCATACAGTACCAGGAGGGGGAAATGGGTGTACGTAAAACTATCGCAAGGAACACCGTTGAAAAAAGTACACACACACGACAGAGTCCAGCCCCCACGCCCCTCGTCCGGGGAGCCCGATGACAAGAAACCGTGTAAGCAGCTTCGATTGGCGCTGTTAATTGGTAGTCCGAGAAACACGCACGCAGAGTACAGCAGGCGCTTCATCTTCCAGTCAGCAACATGATTCTTCTTCCCATCGTGAATTGCACAGCGCTTTTACGTATGTATGATATGACACATTTGTTCGGTACACCCAGGGCGGTTGAGGGGACTACAGCTGCTGTGTTGTTTCTCAGCACATCGCCTCACCCTCCAGCCCCACCGCCACTTGGTTCCACGCTTGGCCGTATCTGCTTGTTCCTCGTTGTGTGGCGTGCGTGCTTTTGTTCGTACGCCGAAGGGCGAGCTCGTGAAGGCCACGTTACCCCCTGGGGAAGCAGCGTCGTCCTGTCTGCTTTTCCAGATCGGCGAGACGACCCAGGTGCTCTCCGGCGGCGCGCTTCAGGCCACGCCCCACGCCGTTCGATCGACGTCTCAGGAAGGTGAGGTCGAGATGGCGAGAGGTGCCTTGAGAGAGAGAGACGGAAGATGGAAAGGCCGACAATCAAACAGTTAGACAGACACGTAGACAGACACATAGACAGACACGTAGACAGACATGTAGACAGACACGTAGACACACAGACAGACACTCGGACGGAGGGAGTCAGGTAAACGGGAGACATCTAGATGAGGTAAGGAAGAACAGAGGTCAATATGGTGCCTTTCTTTGGTTCCTTTGTTTTTATTTCGGGGGATGTTCCAACTCCTGTCGGCTTGGTCTGTCACAACTCATTTTTATGTTGATGATCAATGCTTCTGTCAAATGCGGGTGGAGAGGTGCACAGGGCTTGAGAGGGAGAGCCGGTCGGTGTGGTTTCCTCGCCGTTTCAGCTCTACTTACTTTATCCGCTCGTCAGCTATAGGTTCTAGATTGATTGTTGTGCCCGCTGGTGGCCACACGACTAAATGGAATCGACTGATGATATGAAAACCTGATGTTGCTGGGGTGTGGATCTCAGCTGGCACACGTGTGTGTGTGAAGAGGGGGGGGGGGGGGGGGTGGTACTCACCATCATTTGTGCCTTGCTGCAAGGTGTACGCCGAACATGAAAGGCGCGTCACGCGTCGGATGTGTTACAACTGTTGTTGAAGACGATCACGCCGGTAGAATGATTTGAGGCAGCGAGGGCGGCGGCTGACTAAATACTAGTGTTCATTTTCCTCCGAGTATTGTTTTTGACCAGGTTTTAGGTACTGCCTCTTCACTTTCGAACGATTCATCGTCTATGGGTCCTCATTCCAGCCACCTCTCTTTTTTTCGATCTTCGTGTGTTTTGCGCGCCGCGGTGTGGGGGCGCTACGGTTGGGGCGGGCCCGGGGGGGGTTATGACCAGGTGTGAGCCGCGAAGCGTTCGCGGTGTTTATGCAGCCGGAATGGGGAGAGAGCATGGACGTGCCAAGGTGAGTACGCACGCGATGAACGGTATGAAGTATCTACGAACCACTCGCGGTGCTGCCGTGGCCGTATCGACGAGGTGCGTGAATAGACTAGTCTAGCGACGTTTTGAGGAACCATTATAGGGTCTCTTGGAGGACGGGGCGTGCCTGCCGTAGACTTGTTTCTCTTGTACTAGGCTTGCCGTCGTTCAGATCGCCGTCCCACGTACGTACGCGTCAGTTTGATACTTGGTGGTATGTCAAAATAGTGCGCTTCTTCTGTATGCACGACCACCCACGACTACTCCGACCCGTTTCATCGCGCGCCGGCCGGACTTCGCACGCACCCCACCCCACCCCACCCCACCCCCTCCCGTCCTCTCGCGTGTACTGTCGTACCGTGTTATTCTCGCGCCTTGCTGTCGCTTCTGCGATAAAAACCACACGTACGTACGTGTACGTGAACACCACCACCATGCAACTAACAGAGGCACGGAGTTCGAGTCTGTGCGGTCTCTTCACTCGAAGAGCCTGCTCCCGCGAGCGGCGGCGCCCATCACCGACAGACTGCGCCCTGGGATGGACTTCGGGGAATTCACGGAAGCCACCTTCGCCGCCTACTACTGAAACTCGAGATCATGTGACGACCTAGAAGTGGCATTTTCCCCCGTTCGAATCGAAGACTGCTGTTGTTAGGTGCTACTGCTGTAGGCTACGTCGTTGCTTCTTTGTTTCTTGCTTGGGAGCGGCGGGGAGGGAAGGCGGAAGGCTCGGAGCGGCATCATCTGTGCCGTGTTTTTCTCATTGTTCGTGCTTCTCAGGGAAGTGGAGTGGCTAGTTTGAGGTTGTTATTGTTGTTGCCTTCACAATAACAATAAAGTATGTTCCGGTCTCTGCTTACAGTGTGTGGTACATTCGAACATGCTCGTTTTCGGTGCGACGTTGCAACCTCTTGTAGTACCACTGAGTTCGCGGTGTTCTGTCATCACGTGTTGTTATCGGCGAAAGTTCAGTGATTGAACGGACCGCTAAACACTCCGCAGCAATGCATCCGCTCTCGGGCATTCACAACGGCGTGCCGAAAGAAGCACCGCGCGCTCGATCACACCATAGACACGGAAACAAGGCGCC